TAAGTGTAAAATGTCTGATTCTGTTTTCACTGAAACAAGGTAAGAGGAGAGGAAGAGGTTTTATCTATGCACTACATATGCAAACAGGATAACATTTCACAAGAGCTGGTGAAGTTGTTTTCTGATTTCACTGTAAAGACAATGACTAGCTGTGGGAGCTGTAAGGAATGAATATTATAAAATGTTACCTAGTATTTCTTCCTCATGAATTTCAGCAGATAAAGAAGAGATTCTCACTTCAGAAAGAGTTTTGGTTTAATGCAGGGCCTATTGATCAGCGACATAATCTTATTGATAGCCTGATATACTATCAGAATATAGTTTGATGCCTACATGTTTTAAATAATGATGCCACTGTAAAGCTGCTGCTGCAATTTTTTTTTTTTTTTTTTTTTTTTTTTGAGATGGAGTCTCGCTGTGTCACTCAGGCTGGAGCGCAGGGTCACAGTCTCGGCTCACTGCAACCTCCGCCTCCCAGGTTCAGTCGATTCTTCTGCCTCAGTCTCCCGAGTAGCTGGGATTATAGGCACATGCCACCACGCCTGACTAATTTTTGTGTTTTTAGTAGATATGGGGTATCACCATATTGGCCAGGCTGGTCCCAAACTCCTGACATCATGATCCGCTCACCTTGGCCTCCCAAAGTGCTGGGCTTACAGATGTGAGCCACCATGCCCAGCCATAAAACTGCTTTTTCTCCCAATATACAAATTGAAGAACTTTGGACAAGGTGAGTCATAGTAGTATAATTGAATTGAGTTGTTTGGGTTGGCTTTATCCTAGAAAGCTATTTTGGAAATGTTGCTTTCCTATCATTAGGAAATGCTCTGCTGCACAGGGAATAGACAGTTCCATCACAAATTGAAAAAGAACAGTCAACTAAAAATGTAAAAGAAGGTAACATGAATTTGTTAGAGTTACACTATGTGCAGCTCTCAAACAATGTGACATTAATAAAACTTCTCCGGGCCTGAGGCCTCTCCATGGTTAATACAGGAATGGGCAAAGGACAGTGACAATTACTAAGGACCTACTATGTGCTGAACACACAGAACTCTCTGAATTCTGTTTACAGTTGTCCTATACATTGTTGAGATTGAGGTAGCTGAGTCTATGACAGTTTGCTATTGGTCTCCTGCTGATTGTCTATAAGAGTTTTAAGAAGTGTTCACTACTCATAACACTTGCAAAATAAATTCAGGACCCTACACTTGCTACACTTAGATTATTAGTTCCTGAGAAATGACGTGCTTTTTAACTCCATAAATTTCAGCAACCTATCTTTTAGAACGAGAAAGAAAAGAAACTTTTTACCTGAGGAATAAGTAGCCTTTAAATTATCAGGCCCAGAGAGACATTGAAATGTGGCCACAGTCACATCTCACTCTTTCTTGAGCTAGGTAATCATCTCTTGAATCCATGTGCTATGGGGACTCTAGACTGACTTGTGGCAACTAACCATGAATTAACCTATCAATGCCTATACCACATATCCTATAGTTAAATAATGCATAACCAATCACTGATCAATATTGCTTCTGAAACCAATGAGACTTGCTGACAAACAACTTTAGAATTTGTCTCCTCTCCTGATTCCTCACTTTCTTTACCTTAAAAACTTGGGTCTCTTCTTGTTCTCCAGGGTACTTCCCAAGGAAGTGTTTCTGGGCTGAAGCCCTCAAACTTGGCCCAAATTAACTTTCTGTATTAGTTTTGCCTCAGTGTCCTTCATTAAGTCAACAAGAATGGCCAAGGCAGTCACTAATCTTAGATTCACCTGGCAGCCACAGGAACAATATTTTCCCAGCTATAATGTAACCGATAGAGTGATGCTTCATGTAATTCTGGTGCATTAAATAAGGTCCCATGTCTAACAAGGAAAGCTGCTGGACATCAATGGAAATAGATCCTAGACTCAAACTCCAATATCCCATGACCTAAAAGCTTCAAGTCCCAGATTCACAGGATCCTAAAAGTAACTATTCTCTTCTATTGCCCAAAAACATGCCACTTTTCCATTTTTGGAAACAAAATCGTGATTGTAGTAACTACCATAGAACAATCTTTATAATACTCTGAGCTGTGGTCTATGCAACAAAGAATCAAAATGTCTCCCTTCAAAACAACTCCAGGATGGAACACAGAAACTTAGAGCCAAGTCAGCCTGTTCAGGGCTCGGTATCGGACACACCTCATGGGATCCTGCTGGCAGCTTTCTTCCCCTGGATTTAAACCTGGATTAAACAAAGGAATTCAGAAAGTACTCCAAAAGGCTTTTCCAATTTCCAGGGTGTGTTGGGCATCCCCTAAGGCCTGGGCACATCAGGACAGTTGGTCGCCCTCTTAGGGCTGGGACAGCACCTGGTGAATCATTCTATCTCTACTGCCTCACTCAGTGACTACTGCATCAAAGACTCTCAACACATTAATCTGATAAAATTAATCAAATATTTGCTTGGAACTAAATTACTAGGACAGTTCTTACTGATAGAATGAAGCCACATTAGTTACAAAATCAATCTTTATCATACATACTCTAGAAGTTAGAAAAGTCGTTTGGAGTACTTTTTGAATTCCTTTGTTTAATCCAATGATCTCTCTGCCCTTTTATTTTTCTATAGAATAGTAATCACTACATAACATCACACTGTATGTTTGAGTTTGTTGGTCTATTGTTTGCATAATCAACTCAATTTTAATTTCATATTCTAAAATATTTTGTGTTTTCATCACCAAAGCACATCAGTAGCTAGCAGCACTGTCATAAAACATAAACTCAGTGAACACTTTTTGAGGAAATGAATGCATCATAACGATGGTTTTCGTATGTTTTCTCTGATCACTTTTTATTTCTAAAGCACTATAAGAAGCAGAGAATGCCTATGATCCCATTTGGCATCCAACTCCAATGCTACTGTGCACCTGTCATGTTCCCAACTTGTCATTGTTGGCGTTTGTTCCTTAGACAGCTATAGAAATGAATTTCCATTTTGTTCTGTGGCAGGCTGTCTTTCACAATTGTATTCATGCTACCCATGGTTACATGAAGTAACAGTTGAGTTTAAGTTCCTAAATGTGAATAATTGCAACAAACTATGATTTGCTTTTGAACAGCAAAAGCTGAAAACTAAATAACCCAAGATGACTAATCGAATCAATATGCTGGGCAGGATGTGACATCAGTGTCTGCCTCAGACACAAGAGCATACACAAAACATGACCTCTCTCTCCAAGCCCAGGTAAAGGAAGAAGTCACATAGATGTTGGAAATATAATTAGAGTTTATGCCTACTTGGGAAACTGCAGGAAGAGAAAAACAAACTGCCAGATTTGAGGTTGTGTAAAGAGAAAAAGAGAGACTCTAAAAGTTCGAGCCATAAATAAAAATTCCCAAGGAAAAGCCTAGGCATGAAAAGCTAGACAAACTTTCTAGAAAGAGAAAATTATTTATTTTGGGTTGCTTGATTTCTTTATTCTCAATTATTAACATTTAATTTTGTTGTTTTATCTAATTAAATTGGAAGACATACTTAAGCCATAAATCACAATTATTCTGGTGCTCACACTGGCCTTTGCAGTTGAATAGACTTGCAATTGCTTGACTCTGCTGTCATCTACAGTAACGAAAATCAATCTATAAGAACAGAATGTGAACATCCTCTCTAATCTCCATATGCTTCAAACTAGTCTGAAAATTGAAGTAAGCTTGATCTTTTACAGAAGAGCAATAATTACACAATTTAAGTTGAATGAGATATTATACACACAGGAAGCCATTTGCCAAATAATTACTAAATTTGGGGTATTTAAATGACTAGAAATTTGAAGCAGCTACACGGGATCAAAATATGATTTCAACACTAATATTATATGAGAAGGTTATTGCTTATATCTCTAAATACTACTTTAAATATTTGAAAAAATAAAGATACTAATGCCTAAATTCACAGACTTTGTATGGTAGAAGGGGTATAATAAATAATGTGAAAAATAGTTGAAATAATTTATGGCACCTCAAAGACTCCTATATATAGTATAGATAGATAATAGATAGGTAGATATTAACATAGACACACACACACATATTTACATTTTGTAATATTTATTTCTCTGTTACATTTCCATTATGACACTAATTATTGCTTGCAACTGTGGCAAATACGATTTGTTTTTAAAAAAACCTATTATGGAATCTGTGGCCTTTATTATGTATAATTTACTTACATGAAGAAAATAATATTGTATGTGAATATCAGTGCATTTGATTTTGAGTTCTGTAGGTCTTCAAAACATGAAAACATCATTAGGGAAGAGAGAATATTTAAATAATATTTTACAATTAAGGTGGATCTCATCGGACATACAAAACCCTTACAGTTCAAGGAGTGATTTGGAGGCTGTGCACATTTTCAAGAAAGGCACAGAAGTGCCTGTCAGGAACATGAAAGGCAGAGTATCAAGGAGAGGAACAAGGTTTATCTGGCTGGAGTAATGTCAGCTGAGGAGGAAAGACCAGAACAAAGATAAAGAAGAGGGCTAGGTAAGTCAGTACTTATAATTTAAGCATATAGAAAGTTTCTGAGTCCTACATGCCAGTTTCTATTGTAATTATGCCCTATTAGATTAAAACATTGGGGAATGTAGGTATTCCTGCCTTCCTCAGTTCCTGTGACTTGTTGATAACTCATGAGTGATTTGGCTGGCCAGGAGTTATCTAGAAAGGAATGCTTTAGTTATCATCCCTATCTTTGCTGCCTGCAGAGGTAGACTTTGTACTGAAAGACAACATATATATGTATGACATGCTGAGATGCTTACCAGAAACAATTGGAAAGGTAACATTCCATTCAGATATAAAAATTGGTTTAAAAAAAACCCTGCGGTGTTAGTGAAGAAACAACTCATCCTAAACAAACATTGATAAACTCAGTTCCTTTTTGTTTTTCTGTTGTGTTTTATTTCATGTTTTCTGCTTTGCTTTTGTTTCTATTTCTCTTTCAACCGTTACAGCAGAACGTTTTCATGGAGAAATGGAATCACACTTCAAATGATTTCATTTTGTTGGGTCTGCTTCCCCCAAATCAAACTGGCATATTCCTCTTGTGCCTTATCATCCTCATATTCTTTCTGGCCTCGGTGGGTAACTCGGCCATGATTCACCTCATCCAGGTGGATCCTCGTCTCCACACACCGATGTACTTTCTTCTCAGCCAGCTCTCCCTCATGGACCTGATGTACATCTCCACCACCGTCCCCAAGATGGCGTACAACTTCCTCTCTGGCCAGAAAGGCATCTCCTTCCTGGGATGTGGTGTGCAAAGCTTCTTCTTCCTGACCATGGCGTGTTCTGAAGGCTTACTACTGACCTCCATGGCCTATGACCGTTATGTGGCCATCTGCCACCCTCTCCATTATCCCATCCGCATGAGTAAAATGATGTGTGTAAAGACGATCATAGGCTCTTGGACCCTGGGGTCCATCAACTCTTTGGCACACACAGTCTATGCCCTTCATATTCCTTACTGCAGGTCTAGAGCTATTGACCATTTCTTCTGCGATGTCCCAGCCATGCTGCTTCTTGCCTGTACAGATACTTGGGTCTATGAATATATGGTTTTTGTAAGTACAAGCCTCTATCTTCTTTTTCCTTTCATTGGCATCACTGCTTCCTATGGCCGAGTCCTATTTGCTGTCTATCATATGCGTTCAAAGGAGGGAAGAAAAAAGGCCTTCACCACCATATCAACACATTTAACTGTTGTGGTCTTTTATTATGCACCTTTTGTCTACACCTATCTTCGGCCCAGGAATTTCCGCTCACCAGCTGAAGACAAGATCCTGGCAGTTTTCTACACCATCCTTACCCCCATGCTCAATCCCATTATCTACAGCCTCAGGAATAAGGAAGTCCTGGGGGCCATGACAAGAGTGTTTGGGGTATTCTCTTTCCTGAAAGAATAATCATGGTCTTCCCTACTCCCTTCGTATTTCCTCTTTCCAAGTTGATTTGAACACGCTAGAGCAGGTATGTCCAACATAATTTAAAATTTTGTAATAGGTACATTTAAGCAGTCAAATCAATTTAAATAATATATTTAATTCAAAACAATGTTATAATTAATATTAACAATATTGATGTTAATTACATAGCATACTATTTCAATAAATTATATGCAATATGTTACACTGTATGTTTGTACCTATATTACTATTACTGTGATAATATTTATACTCATATATTGATATAGAATTTCTTCAGGTAATAACACAAATTTGTTAATGTCGCCTTTTACTCTGTTTGCATTCTAAGTCTTCAAAGTCTTGTGTTTGTTTTATGCTAGAGTACAGTGCAGCTTGGACAAAGCATATCTCAAGTGCCTAGTCAGTGTCTACAGTGTTGGACAGCACAGCCTTAGAGCATCCCCAATCAATAGTTTTCAGAAGTTATATATGCGTATGTGTGTGCACGTATGGTGTATACAAACATATTTTTGGTATACACAATATTGCTGATGAACTGAAAATTAACAAGTAAAACACTTATGCTAAGGTAGTGTTTATGTGTTTCTTTATCTGTTGGCTCATTTTTAGCATGTGCATATTTATTGTAATTAACATTTGGAGTCCAGTTTATCCTAACATCTTTTAATAAAACTATTCAGGGAGAGCTTATCTGACTTACAATTTTGCTGATTTCAATAAAAACACTGAGATTAAATAACCTGAATATGAATATAAGAAAACCCCACATTTATATATACATATAAAGTAATAAAATTATTATATAAATAACTTTATCAAAGTTGTACTTAAATTATTTACATAAAGGCATGGAGACAGTGACAGGGTACAGACAACATGCAACATATAAAATGGATACTAGGACCTCAGGCTTCAGCTTTGATGTGTAAAATATATATATATGACTTTGCACAGGATGAAATCCTGTGTTACTATATGTTACTATATGGAACATTGTATTTAGCAAAAGTTTCACTATGGTTGTTTTACTGATTCACTTAAGTGACTTCAAGTCTATCAATAGTTGGAATTATAGAGGGGTTCTGATTTTTGTGGAAAAAAAATTGAGACTTATATTATTATATTCCTTTCATTTATTGCTCAAATTCAAGCTCCCAATGTCTTTTTCTAGTTTCTTACTACCTTGTTTTCATGTCTTGAGTCCAGTTCTTACTGAGAATATAGTGTACTTATTGCCATTCGAGTTATTTCCCTAAACATACATTTGATCTTGTCATTCTATAATCTATGATTCCTGTTGGATTATCTAAATTTTGGAACCTTAAACTCATATCCCCATGCTTTTAAAGCATGCATTATGTCTCCCTTTACCTGTTTCTGTCACTCATACTCAGTACCATAGTCACTCTAGACCTCCCACCTTTCTCTATAGCCCTCGATTTCCCTACCTATCTGAACCTTATCACAGACCATTTCTCACTTCTGGAAAGTTCTGCTTTACATAGCTTATGACTATCCATCTGAATCCCACATAGTCAGTAAACATAACTCAAAATTTACATCCCATCTTCTCTTATGCACAGTTGATATCTCTTTCCCCCACACTTCTACTCCTGTTGTACTTATGATCACATTTTATTAACACTTATTCACATCTGTGTCTGTGTCTTATTTTAAATTGAAGCTCATAGAATATTTTAAAAATTATAATAATTAGAATTATAAGGCTAACCAATATTTACTAATTGTAAATGCATTTCCCACATAGATAACTTAACCTTCACTACAACACTATGATTCGGATATTTATTCTATGTTGAGTGAGCACTTTGAGGCTTGGTGAGGCAAAACAAACAAACAAGATAAATGTCTTAGGTCAGAGAGCTAGGAAGGGAAGAACACAACTTAGAAGCTGGTTTTCTTTGAATCAGGCTTTGATTCATGTCACCCAGTCTCTGAACAAGATCTTCATCATTTTGGCCTGGATGTCCCCACAGAATGAAGTGCTATGGCATGCAATGCAGGGACATTTGTTTGTGGTAATTTATTTGTGTTTATTGGTATGCAATGCAAGTTTAAGGAACTAATATTCATGCCACATTACAGATCCAGGGGAAAATATTAGCAGATAGTGGTTAACAGATCATTACTTAGAATTTCCTTTTACTGCCTCAAATGGGTTGTTGCTCATTCCGGGAGGCAGATTCCTCAGTCTGTGATGCATCTCACTCATTTTTTCCACTAGTATCAGGTTTTCTCCTTGAATTAAAAAAAAAAAAAAGTGTAATTTTTTTCTGCTCTGAATATGACCACTAAAATTAATTTTTGTGTCTGGGTTTTGATTTTCTTTTTGGAGATTCTACCATTACTTTGATATTAAGCAATCATTGATGCAGTAAATCCTTATTTACTAGAAAATATAATATGACCTAGTATATTCTGCAGAAATTAAACACATTGATCAATCTTTGTACAAAAACAACAAACCACAATTGTGAAAGGAAAACACCAAGCTAAAAAAAATAGCCTCCAGAATTTCTGCAAGAAAAGGCATTTGGAAAATTTTCTCCAAGCAAAAGCAATTGGAAAGCTGCTGAAGTTGATTCACCTTAATTAACAAGAACCATATCATATAGGAAGGGTTCAATGCATACCGTATTAATTAATTTGAGGTATGTATTAATTAATTAAAACCAACTTAATTTTAATTGATTTAATTAAATAATTAATTACTAATTAACTTAAGGGATTATCAAACCCTTCCTATGTGATATGGTTCTTGCTACATCAGGTAAAATGATGGACAAGCAGGTATAATCTTTTACCCTGTGGAGCCCACATGCTGGTGTGAGCCATAAAAACATTAGTACACACTGTCTGGTCAGACTGGGCAGTGATGAATTCAGGGAGAAAAGTAGTAAATGAGTTATCACACAGAGTCATCAGGCCCCTCTGACATGACGAAGGGGCTGGCCCTGTCAACCTGATGGATAAAACCCACAAAGCCCTCCAATGACAGACAGGAGCACAGCAGGAGGCAGTGAGCAGAGAGGAGTAGGAGACATAGATCAGAGCCTTCTCACGGCCAGGTGAAGGCAAAGAATCTGGACTTTATTCTAAATGTAGCAGAAGCCTTGCAGGGAAATATTTTCTCAACTACTAACATCCACAGCTACTTGACCAGTCAGTTGGTGTGAACTCTGGGAAAATACCTGAACACGTGGCAAAATGGGCCAAATAGCAGTCAATACTTCCAAAGAGACACTCTGAGCTTTTAAAGGAGTCATTTGTTCTATTTCAAGGTTTAGTTTGATTCTTGGAGAGAGATTAAACCTTAGGTGGCTCTAAAGAACCATTATTATTTACATCTCTCATTGTTCTCTTGACATATTTTTCTATGACATAGGATAACTAGAATTAATGCTAATATATCGCATATTTCAAAATAGCTAGAAGAGAGGTTTTTGAATGTTCTCATCACAAAGAAATGATAAATGTTTAAGGTGATGAATATGCTAATCATCCTGGTTTGATCATTACATAATGTATACGAGCATCAAAACACCACATTGTACTCCACAAATATGTACGAATAACATTTTAAAGTGAATAAATAAAAGAAGCTCCTCCTGTCATGAGGCCAAATACTACACTCTTCTGTTACTGTTCTTTCTTGATTCCTCTTCCAATTCCAAGAACAGATCAGTGACATCACAGAGGGAAATAGGAATGGGATCTTATCTTGACACATCTTCATGAAGTGTGCAATGACATTGAGGTTTTGATTTCTTTCAACTAAAAGATCCTAGCCCAACAGAGAAAAATGATGTTGAAAAATTATATACTGCTACTTCTCCCAAACCAAAAACTATTACAAGAAATTTTGTTAATTTTATTTTGAATTAACAAATAATATTGTATGTATTTTTGGAATACAATATGATGTTTTAGATATGTTGATAATGTAAAATGATTAAATCAGGCTAATTAACAAACCCAACACTTCATATATTTATTTTCTTGTGTGGTGAAAACTTGTAAAATCAATTTTAAGCAATTTTGAAATATATAACACACTATTATTTATTACTGGCTCCATTGTGTGCAATAGATCAGTAATACTTATTCCTCCTATCTAACTAAAACTTTCTATTCTTTGATCAACATCTCTTTTCCCACCCATTCTTATCCCCATACCTCTGGTAACCATCATTCTACTCTACTTCTATGAGTTCAACTTTTCTAGATTCCACATATAAGTGAGATCACTTAGTATTTGTCTTTTTTGAGCCTAGCTTACTGACTTGGTGTTATGTTGTTCAGGTTGATCCATGTTGTCAAAAATGAAAATATTTCCCCCATTCTTGAGGGCTGAATAGTATCCCATTGTGAATACATACTACATTTTCTTTATCCATTCATCTGAAGATGGATACCTAGGTTCCTTTATAAATTTGTTTTGTCCAAATTCCCCGTGTGTGTGTGTGTGTGTGTGTGTGTGTGTGTGTGTTTTACGTTCTGGGATACATGTGCAGAACCTGCAGGTTTGTTACATATGTATACATATGCCATGGTGGTTTGCTGCACCCATTAACGTATTGTCCAGGTTTTAAACCTCACATGTATTAGATACTTCTCCTAATGCTTTCCCTCCCCTTGCCCCCACTCCCTGGCAGATGCTGGTATATGATGTTCCCCTCCCTGGTTCCATGTGTTCCCACTGTTCAACTCCCACTTATGAGTGAGAACATGCGGTGTTTGGTTTTCTGTTCCAGTGTTAGTTTGCTAAGGATAATGTCTTTCAGCTTCATCCATGTCCCTGCAAAAGACATTAACTCATTCTTTTTAATGGTTGCATAGTATTCCATGATGTATATGTGCCACATTTTTTTTATCCAGTCTGTTGGGGCGATCAGACCCAACACCAGGCCGTGGGGGCTATGAAGTCCAGCAGAGTCAAAGGAATGAGACAAGACAAGTTAAGAGTGCATAACGTGGGACCACAGGGCCAGCACTCGTATGAAGGCTGTGAAGACCCGAGCTCTGGAAGCCCGCACTATTTATAGGTGATCAAACAAGAAGCAGGTGGTGAGGATATGGGGGCTGAAAGAAAGCGGTGTGTTAAGCGCATGATATACAGCTGTGATGGTTTAGCATTTTCTTTGAAGCATATGGAACATGTGCTTTTATTTGAGACAATGGGAAACATGTTCTTCCCATTTCAGATACAATTGATCTCTGAACCTGGGAGTGCTAGAAGCAAGGAGCCAGCAGGTTTAGACACATTCCAGAGGCCACGAGGTGTTTTATGCCCTGAGCCCTGGATTCCATCCAAGCCACAAGGGGTTTTATGCCCTGGGCTTAGATTGTGGTGCAGCAGGGCAGCCTTCTGCACACCACGCTTTGGCACAGAGTTTGGTGTTCCAAAGGCCATGAGGGGTTTTAGACCCTGGACCCAGGACATGTTCCAAGACTCTTTTACATTATGTCAGACAGGCAAGCCCTGCCTCAGCTTTTTCCTCACCCTCAGCTTTTCCCCAACACAGTCTATCACTGATGGGCATTTGGGTTGGTTCCAAGTCTTTCCTATTGTAAATAGTGCTGCAATAAGCATATGTGTGCATGTATCTTTGTAATAGAATCATATATAATCCTTTGGGTATATATCCAGGAATGGAATTTCTGGATCAAATGGTATTTCTGGTTCTAAATCCATGAGGAATCACCACACTGTCTTCCACAATGGAAGACATTTAACTTAATTAAATGTCTGAATTAATTTAAACTCTCACCAACAATGAAAAAGCAT